CAATTAATCGTTGCTTTCGACTGTTTTAAAATGTTAATTTTGAAGATATCAAAAAACTGTATATATTAAAGTTGTTTAAAAAAAAATAAAGCAATCCATACCCAGTTTCAAAAATAGTGGTTCTTAAAAATTGTTACTTTACTGCTCTTGCGCGGATAAAAATAATTTAAAAATTAGGATTTATTAAAAATAKATGTATTTATTATTTATATGTAAGTAATCTAGTTATAGTTACTGTAATATTATATTATGTACTATTGATTTTTTATTCCAGATTACTTTTGTTCAAGAATTACATAATGAGGAGAAAACAATGAACATGCTATTGGTTGGATGTTTATGTAAATCTTTTGGTATATTGTTTGTTTGTCAATTTCCAACGTTAATGATCATTCGTTGCATTCATACACCAAGTCCAGTATGCTAATTTTTAGTCTATAAATTTTTTATTTAAGAAGACAGACTACCCATATGTGTTATCTATGCTTTACAAGGCAAAATTCATTGCTAATTATGTGTTGGGAGCTATAATAAAATAATGAGTTGACMTATTAATGTGACAATAAATAAGGGTGTTTATGTCTTCTTAAGTAATTTTACTAATTAAAAAAGATGAATTTTAAAAATTTTATAAATTTTTCTAGATATCCTACATTTCTACAATAAATAATGAATCACTTCCACAAAATCAACTTAGTGATAAGTTCAAAGTTATGTCCACCATACTATTAGTTGGATTGGCAACTGGAGTGGTTTTTGCAGTTGACATGAGAAAACATTACATCGAAAACCGTAAGTTGACTGAATATTATACCCTAACATATAAATAAAAACTTTTTTTCTAGAATTAAGAAACATTGAAATAATGGTAAGTGAATCAAGTCCCAGCAAACTATTAATTCTTAGAAAAAACGAAGATATCCAAGAAGCTAAGAAAATAAGTGATCACAATGATCTTCATTTAGCTATATTTATAAATGGTAAAATTATAGTTAAAAAAGTATATACATTAAGAATAATAATTTATTATGTTTTATTTCAGAACAATTTTGTAATTTTTATAAAAAACAGTACAGTGGTAAACTAAACTTTGGCATATCATGTTTGTTATATACTGAAGAAATCAATGCCATTGCTATTGGATATAATACAGGCCATTTCCAACTCTGGGACTGTAAAATGATGCAGACACTGTAAGTAAATAGGTCATTAGGTAATTATTATATATGAATAGATGCAGTGTTCGGAACGTTCACCAAAAAAATGAGCTTGTTCACGTTCACGTTCAGTCCTTAAAAAGGAACTCGTTCACGTTCACGTTCGTGTTTTTTCAAACAAACGCGTTCACGTTCATGTTCATTTAAAAAAAGGAACGCGTTATTTGGGCCGCRTTCATAAATTTTTTTTTTTATGAATCGTTAGTCTGCAGTCAATATAAAAATTAAAAACCCATAAACGTATACGCT